TCTCAGCTTACACCCTGACGTAAAGCTGAAATTTTGCCGCCGTGCCATCGACTTCCCTTCCCTCGTGCACGTGTGGTAAGGATTTCGTTCTCGTAGACCTTGACTTACAACGCACGGTTCGAGCCTGTGATGGGCTGCGGAGATATGCCCTTCAGAAGCTCAGCGCTCGGTAGCATGGTGATTATTTGCACGCAAGCGCCCTGATGTCTCGCAGGTATTTGTCTTGCGGACTGTTGCAGATTTGGCCGGTTTCGATAGTCATCTGGTGTTGCTTAGGCCATTTGCTGAGGGCTTTGGTGAGGTCCACGTCTACACGATCACTGCAAGCCCTTAGGAAACGGATCTTTATCCGCTCCTGCCTATCGGCGTTTTCATGAAGTTTTCCACTGGCCCGATAGCATATGTAACAGTCAGACTATGCATCTATAGGTCATTGCATGTACTCATGCTGTTTAAACATAAAAGATGAGGATAATTTCTCATACGCTTTTCTCACTGTAGGCGGCTTTTGACCCGAACCCTTTTTCCTTCTTGACATCCGAAAGATCGATTATCTGGTTCTTACTGAATCTGGCAGCTTATACACTGCCTCATTTGGCTGGCATTTCGTAGTCCTTGATGCAAAGCTCTTTTGAAAAACCACGAAAACTACAAGCGGCTGGGTTTGGATAAAGAGCTATAGGTACTAGGCTCTTGACAAGGCGATTCACACCGTGTTTGATAGTCCACCTCTTTAAAAAAGCATGTTGGCAGTCGCACAAGGAATGCAGTAGTTGGTATATTATGGCGTGTTTTGTATATGATAAACATCTGCATATTTTACCTCAACTGCTACGACTTGAAATTTTCCAGCATCGGCAGAAAAGCTAGTACGATAGTGAGGTGTCCTGCAGGCCTGTTTTTTCGCCCAAATCCGAATTATTGTATATACTGCTTAAGTTCTGTGCCGTTCTTGAATCATAACACATCGACGTTTGTCCGTCATCCTGTAAAATAAACTTGATAACAACCTTGATCAGGTTATGGTGTGGATGGCACATTCCAAATGCATCATTTTTGCAAGCAAAGTCAGGTATTAGGATATTGTCGATGCATTATTCAAAACCACTCCGGAGAGCCACTTTGAGCGGCCTTTCATCATTCTTTAGAATTGCGATCGCTGATGCTATGCTCGAAAAACAAAGATGAATGAACAAACACCAATGACGTTTTGGCTCTGGTTATAGCGTGCTTTTGAACATGCTTTTTACATACATACATGTATATATATATATATATATATATATATATATATATATGTATATATATACATATATACATACATATAAACCACAATGTTTCTGCTAGTTTTCTTTCCAGGTTTCCGCGATACCCAGACCAGACATTGGCTCAAAATGGCCTTTCCTTCAGGCCTGGCTACAAACCCCAACAAACAGCAACACACGGCCTGTCTGGGTGGCCAGGCCTCCCTGCTCCACCCGACACCGGCTGTCTGGGTGGCCAGGCCTCCCTGCTCCACCCGACTCTGGGTGGCCAGGCCTCCCTGCTCCACCCGACACGGCCTGTCTGGGTGGCCAGGCCTCCCTGCTCCACCCGACACCGACTATGTGCACGGGCAAGGCGCCTTCCGGACGACGCCGCTGCCTTGTTTTCCAATTAGATCCATCTGGTGGGATAACTGAATTCGCCGAACAAAAACCACTCCAGCGACGGAGAAGCCGGGCTCGAACTTCTTCGAGCGGATCCAGCTATCGCATCGCGGTGCAGCGTCGGGTCCGATTCCCGTCTCAACTCCGGCAGTCCGTGTCTGATTCCGACCCGAAGCCTGATCCGGACTCCAGTAGGATCCGGAGCTGAAGCCTGATTCCGACTCGAGTCTAACTCCGACTCGAGGACTGATCCCGACGCCAATATGGTCTCGCGTGCTCCCGACTCGAGTCTGACACTGACTCGAAAGCCTGATCCTGACTCGAGTCTGACTCTGACTCGGAAGCCCGATCCACCGAGCCCAGCCCGCCGCGGGCCCCACATGTGTGACATCGATTTCCGGTCAGCGTGATGCGCCCCCGCCCGACACAAATTGCCAATAACTATATGGAGATCCGACTCGCCGCTTGCCCTGAATGCAGCCCAACAACGCGCGTCAGACGCCCCCCCCCCCCCCCCCCCTCCTGCCGCACGCCACCCCGTGCGGGCTGCGACCAAGGTCTCGCGTTTGTCCGAGGCATCTGATGGATCGCGCGTTTCCGCGAGCTGCCCTCCTTGCCACATCGGTGCATACCGAGTGGAGAGAAGCTTTTTGCCGAACTATTTGTTACGCTGGCGCAGATGCCGGGCCGGGCGTTACACGGGCTGCTGCCGTCCCCCAGACGCCCCCGAGTCCCGAGCGCATTTGTGTGTACTGGGTCGTTAACATTTGAACACCCCGTGAATAATGCATGACGGTGCTGTGCGTAGCATCCATTGCGTCCGTTACGTCGCGGAGGAAGGACTTTCATGTTGATAAGATGCATGCGTAATGGAGAGCTGCATATCGTATTGCATTTTTGCGGCGGACAGCTCATAACATATGCATTGGCGTGCAGTGTGTACTCAGAATCTTCTCAATAATGTACGCACGCCCGCGACGTGACGCGAACTCTTATAGATTGATCGTCCCACTGCACGGCGGCCGATGGGATGGGTGTCGGTGCACAGCTGTGTGACGTATTGCCCGTCCTCTGGCTCCCCTCGCGTGATGGGCAGTCCGCGGCAGCTCTCCACTCATCGGCAGAGTGATGCGGATGATTCTGGCACGTGCTTTTTCAGTGGAGGTGCCTCGTTGTGATGTCGGCCAGCGCGTTTTATGGCGATTGCTGTGCTTGACGGTGCCGAGAGCCTCACTGCCCTGTCCTTGAGTGGCGGTACACGCTGTTAGCCTTTCCTGATGTGACCTGTGCTCTGTGACCTGCCGCATCCGTGCTCTGGTCCGCCATGTCTGGTTCGACCTGCTGTGTCTGTGCTCCGTCTGACCTGCTTCGTCTTCTCTGGCGTGCTGTGCGTGCGCCCGTGCCTGCTGTGAGTGAGTGTGTGTGTGAGTTGACGTGGCGTGCACACCATACGCTCTGACGCCTTGTCTTTCCGTCTGCCTTCAGAGACGACGTTCCAGCACCAGCTGCAGCAGGCGTGGCAGAAGTCGTGGAACCAGCAGCAGAGCCTGCTGCAGAACCTGCGGTTCCGGGAGCGGGGCCCGCTGAAGTCCTGGCGGCCCGAGACGATGGCCGCCGCCATCATGTCCGTCCTCAGAGAAGGTAGGAGCGTCGCGTCGCCCCGTGAAAAGGCCAACACGCTCGGATGGTGCCCCGTCACAGGCTGGGAAGGGGGCTCTGAGCTCCGGCCGTTCGCGCTGAAGGGCAATGAAATGTGGCTGAAGTTTCGTCATTACGTTTTCTCGGAAAATGATGAAGGTCTTCATTTGTGGTGCTGACGTTGATGACGGATGTGAATGTCATCATTTCGCAACATTGTACGCGACGCTGTATGTTGTGACATTTGAACTCAATTTAGGTTTGACATCACTGAAGTCGCATTAAGTGTCAACATGCATGCTGGTCTGCAAACTCGCCCTTTCACCAGACATCATGTTTGCGCTTGGGAAAGTCATTTTCAAAGCTTTACATGCAGTTATTTATTTATGTTCATGTGTTGAAGATCCTCGAAAAGTTAGGAGAAATGAACACGTAATGGACAAGCCAGTAGTCGCTGTCATTTATATATCAGTCGGTCAACGTTTCGTTACGCTTGGGTATCATCACCAGGATTGGGAACCCATTCTTACATATTAGGTGTAGTGTTAGTAGCCTTGTTTCCTCAGTGTGTGGGACTGCTTCTGTTCTGATATATATTATATTGTGCATAAACCGCTGTATATATATATATATATATATATATATATATATATATATATATATTTAATGAGAAAATCACGTATAACTTTCCTATTTTAGATGACATATACTTACATATATGCAATTCAAATAACCCACGTTATAAAAGTTTCTATACCTAGTTTGTTAATTGTCTTAGACTGGCATCAGGGTGTCGCCGATGCATTTTTTATCGCATACTGCGCTAGTACTGCGTACAAATTCCTTCGATGGAGCGTTCTCCGCGCGTATGCCTACAACTAGGAGAAATACAGAGAAAAGGTTTTAAAAAATGCTGTTTTTGTTTGTATCTGTTTCCACGCCACTGCAACTCTCTTCAACAATTAAAAAGGAAATATAAAGTCTTCTCTGTGTCCCAGTGCAGCATTATTTAGTTTGAAAATTTCCCAAAATCTTTCCTAACTATGGTCTTGTGTCACTTGTGCTGATGCAAACCTTGGCACTGAAAAAAGTGTGCAACGAAAATCCATGATGGCAAAGCAAACAGAATAAAGCACGCTGAACTAGCCCATAATACGGATCATAATACGGAAAGAAACGCAGCAGTTATTAGTATTAAGCATTCATGCTGCATCGGAGCGCAAAATTAAAGAGATCAACTACCACGTTCTAGCTGGAAACCAGTTTGGCTGCGCCGATTATCAGTCAAATTTATTTGCATGATTTTATATTTCATCATTAGCTGCTGGATTATTTCATCACTAACTGCTAGGCTATGAGTCCATACATCTCAGTGGTAGCACATTGCAACTGATAATAAAAGGGCTAGTTATTGATCACAAACGACGAGCAATGGTCATGGGCACAGGTTCAGATGATCATGTCTGTTCTAATCATGGTTAATGTGCTATATATCTTGGTCATGCTGTTTTGCAACATCAGTGGGTTATTGCTGTTAGCTCACGTCCGGGTCAGTTCTTTTCTTGCCGTTAAGCTGTTATTGCTATAACGCATGGTTGCGCAAATTATCCCAAATTGTTGTGGTGTATATAATTTTTACAGATTGTATGTACTTTTTAGGGGCTCAGAATTGATAAAATGAACCCGACGGTGTCATAAGGCAGTATATACGCTTATCTGTTCACATCATTGTGATCTTGCAGTATTCACGAGCTATGCCACTGTAACGTTTAACATTCCAAAGGTGGGGCATTTGATGCTTGTCTTTCACAACCCACGGGAACCAGGATGTTCTGGTCATAAGTCATCCCTGGTATATCATGATATGATTTACTTAGACCACCTGCCTGTTTAACTGGCCCCAATCAACGCTCACGGTGAACCGCTGCCTGCTGTTCAGCTCCGCTGCGGTCCCATGACACCGTGCCTCGGCTGAATATGAACTGTCACATACCCAACCCGTGACATGCGACGTCGCAGCACCCCGTCCGCCCTGCCGTGTTTTTCCCGGTTGGACGCGTGCCAACGCCTCGGGTCGCCGGCCGAGCGGCTCGCATTGAGCAGCAATATAACGGCCGCCGCGGACCAATGTTCACATAGTTCTGCTTAGCTGCTGGGGCACAATTGCACTCCGCTGGCCTTCGCTTTATGTCCAGCCATGTCGCCGCGCCCATTGGCAGTAGTTATATAAGTTGGGAATTGCTACACGTGGATTGAGTACGACGCAGTTCCAGGCAGGCGGAGACTCGATTAAAATGTGATTCAAGGGCGACGCAACTTTTCCTGCTTTGTCCTCGAGTCTCTGCGAAGTTTTTATCTCCTGCAACCACCCGCAAGGAGATTTGTACTTCAACAAAGAAATGATTAATGTATATGGTTTTACGTCATAATACCCAGAAACAGGGGCCCGGGAGCCGGATGCGTGTCTCCGGCGTTCTTGGCCGTATCAGCATCATCCGATTGTAGGAAAATGTTGTGTACAATCCGCTTTGCTTATCTGAGAACTTGGCTCATTATCTGCCGTACCAAATTTAGGTGTGAAGGTCTCCGACGCAATCTGATGTTGTACCGGAGGGTCCAGGGAGCCTGGTACCAGATGCAGTGCATCACAACAAATGACATTGGAGAGGTCAGCCGAATGCAAACAGCATGTATTGTGCCAACAACCGCATCTCTCTTCGCCCCGTCCATTGCCTTGCAAACCATGGAAGTGCAGATGGTGGGAGTGACGCTAGAGTTGGCCGAGGACCAGAGCGCCCCGTCATCCGCAATAGCCGAGTCGTGTATTCCTGTTCTTATCATGGCTGAGCCGAGTCTTAGACTCATACTCCTGTCGTGGCTGAGCCGGGTCTTAGACTCCTGCTCCTGTCCTGGCTGAGCCGAGTCGTGGATTCCTGCTCTTGTTCTGGCTGAGTCGAGTTGTCGATTCCTGTTCTTGTCCCAGCAGAGCCGAGTCCTAGGTCCTGCTCCTGTCCTGGCTGAGCCGAGTCGTGGAGTCCTGCTTCTGCTCTGACTGAGCCGAGTCGTGGACCCTGCTGCGATCCTGGCTGAGCCGAGTCCTGGAGCTCCGGGCCTGTTCTGGCCGAGCCGAGTCCTGGACTCGGCGCCACCGACCGCTGCTCTGCCGCAGCTGTGCAGGAGCTGTCCCTGTGGGCTGGTTGCGGGGACGGTAGACTGCTCAGTCGGCTCACACTGCGGGGGTGTGGGGGGGGGGGGGGAGGGGAGCCTGCGGTGCTCGGCGAACGGGCTCAGGAGACGACCCCCCCCCCCCCCACCGGCACTGCAGCGCCCTCTGTGTGCTGTGAAGTACTGGGCTGGAGCCCTCTGTGTGCTGTGGAGTCCTGGGCTGGAGCCTTCCGTGTGCTGTGGAGTCCTGGGCTGGAGCCCTCCGTGTGCTGTGGAGTCCTGGGCTGGAGCCCTCTGTGTGCTGTGGAGTCCTGGGCTGGAGCCCTCTGTGTGCTGTGGAGTCCTGGGCTGGAGCCCTCTGTGTGCTGTGGAATCCTGGGCTGGAGCCCTCTGTGTGCTGCGGAGTCCTGGGTTGGAGCTCTCTGTGTGCTGTGGAGTCCTGGGTTGGAGCTCTCTGTGTGCTGCGGAGTCCTGGTTTGGAGCTCTCTGTGTGCTGTAGAGTTCTGGACTGGAGCCCTCTGTGTGCTGTGGAGTCCTGGACTGGAGACACTTTTGGGAGGGAAGCGTAGCCAAAGACCACCAGATTGGCTTAATTCAATCCAAGGTCGAGGGCCGGAGGCTGCTAATGGGCTTTGGTGAGAGCTTATCTGAGACAATGTTTTTGTCAGTCTAAAACACGATCTCACTGATCGTGTCTGTGGCGGTGCGTGTGAAGTTTTCCCTGCATGCCTGGCGAATTCTTGATGCCGTGGTCGCGTTTTGGTGTTATGCAGCTCCAAACTGTTTTGGCGCTTTTTCATAAAGTTTCACTTGCATCAAAGGCATTAAGATCGCGTTTTAACTTGGCTGAGGCTGCTTTACACATGCCGACTTGCAATTCTTGGAGTGGCTCAAATAGGACGGTGCAGTGGACCGGGATCTGACTAAGGTAGCTCCTACCTCGCATATGCCGTAAGCGCAATGTCTTCGTCTTCCGGTTCAGTACCTGAACAGCCTCTCCTTTCGGTCGTTGTGTAGTCCACCTACGCCCTTGTTTACGTCAGCCGCCGAGTGGAAGCTGAAAACGTGCTATGGTGAACTACCAGAGGGCCTCCCACGCTCCGGGCAGTCTTCACGCAGCTGAGGAGCGATATCATTTGACGCTCCGCCAGTGCTGTCTGAACTTGAACTCACACGGAGTAATTATATTGTGCGGCGCCAGCTCCATCTCCGTGCTCGAAAGCAATGTGCTTTTCGACATTGCCACTCCAAGATTCAAATGGGATTAAAGCTTCACATGTACGTATTTTGTGATTGTCGATATGTGTAGTGCTGTGCAAAAATGCTTCAGGCTTTTGTTGACAAGATTGTGTCGTTGTTTTGTTGCATATCTCTCTTTTGAGAAAAAAAGATCGGTGTTGTCTAATGTTCGCTGTGACATGGTGCTTGTGAAAGATGTTGGTAAATGCGGGGATGTAGGCTGCTGTTATCTCCGTGTTGTTGAAGGTGCCTCTCGAACCATGCGCCTGTCTCCATGATCGATGCCGTCTCTATCTGGTCGTATGCTTGTTCTGGCAAGTGTAATGTTCTGTTTGCAACGGTCGCCATGGGAATGCTACACGAGGCCGTGGTGACAAATACCTTGGGAGCGTTGTAACACTATCATCAACAGGCGGGTGTGGATTGTCCCACAGTTCGGACCACTTGGATTACGCAGGCAGTATGGACTCCAGGTTGTGCCCATCGAGTGCTTCGATTTGAGGGCCACTGCAGCGCATAAGGAATGCAATTATATAAACGTGTGTGTGTATGTGTGTGTGAGTGTGTGTTATATATATATATATATATATATATATATATATATATATCATTCTGAGAGCACAGTTAACCACAGCACTGAGGTTATTGACGTATAGTTTTGAGTTTAATCTGATCTGCTAGCCGTTGAGGCTCATGGCGTAAGACATGAAATTCAGCATGCAGCCCCAGCTTGCCTCGGAGGATCTCTGCCGGCTGATCTCTGCCTACAATCTCGTGCTGGATCTCTGCCGGCTGTGGGGTGAGGGCTGCCGAGCCTGTGTCGGAGGATGTTCTGTGTCGGACGGCAATCTGTGTCGGACAGTGACCTGTGTCTGACGGCGGTCTGTGTCGGACGGTGGTCTGTGTCGGAGGTTGCTCTGTGTTGGACGGTGATTTGTGTCGGATGGTGGCTTGTGTCGGACGGTGGTCTGTGTCGGACGGTGGTTTGTGTCGGGCGGTGGTTTGTGTCGGACGATGGCTTGCGTCGGACGGTGGTCTGTGTCGGACGGTGGCTTGTGTCGGACGGTGTTTTGTGTCGGACGATGGCTTGCGTCGGACGGTGGTCTTGTCGGACGGTGGCTTGTGTCGGACAGTGGCTTATGTCGGACGTCCCCGGCCGCTCCGGAGGCTGCTGGCTATTGATCGGCCCGCCTTCCATTGCGTCCGACCCTCATCATTGTTGTTACAAGCTGATTAGTATCATGCGACATGAGAGCCGGCGTGACGCCGGCCGGCCTGCGTGACCCAGCCGTCCAGCGCACCTCCGTCTTGACCCAGTCGCCCTGCGGCCTCCGCCGTGACCCAGCCGTCCAGCGCGCCTCCGCCGTGACCCAGCCGTCCAGCGCGCCTCCGCCGTGACCCAGCCGTCCAGCGCACCTCCGTCGTGACCCAGTCGCCCTGCGGCCTCCGCCGTGACCCTGCCGTCCGACACGCTTCCGCCGTGACCCAGCCGTCCAGCGCGCCTCCGCCGTAACCCAGCCGCACTGCGCGCCTCCGCCGTAACCCAGCCGCGCGCGGCCCAGCCGACCTGCGCGCCTCCGCCGTAATCCAGCCGGCCTGCGCGCCTCCGCCGTGACCCAGCCGTCCTGCGCGTCTCTGCCGTGACCCAGCCGCACTGCGCGCCTCTGCCGTGACCCAGCGGTCCTGCGCGCGCCTGGAACAGTGCCGTCCAGCGCGCCTCTGCCGGTCCACCGAGAGTGAGGGAGAGGGCGTCGGTGCGGCAACCGTTCCCAGCGCACGGCGGTGCGCGGGGTCCGTGTTTGGACGGCAGCAGCTGCTGCCGTTATTACAGTCGGCGGTCTGCCAGCTTGATAGCTGACTGCACTATGACCCGGCGTATGTTACACACCCCGCCATATAGCGCCAGCGTTTGGCTAACCCGGGGGGGGGGGGGGGGGCGGGATCCGGATAGGCAACCTTAAATGTTGCAGAATTGAGGTCCGCGCCCATGGGTGCCGCGTGGAAGAGTCGCATTCGCACATTGGCGTCCCAGCTTTTGGTGTGTTGTCGCAGCCCAGAACTCCGAACACGTCGCACGGCGTTGTGGACCGGCGCCGCCGTCCCGCCTCTGCCCTGGCGACCGGACCGTGCGCGACCCGGCCGCGGTCGGACGGCGTGATATGTGCACGGCACCGCTCTTCCAGTCCAAATATTGTCGGACAAACGGCTCAAGGCCATCGCGACGCGACACGTCGGGCCTCGGCACCGCTGCATTTATTTGCTTTTGATGTATGCCCGCTGTAGGCCGGCACATTGGTTGCATGGTGACGCATTCGCGGAAAGCTTATGAGCTGATCCCAATGAGGTCAGAGATTTGGCGACTCCACCAATAGGTGTACGGCAACCAAAGCATGCCCGTGCCTTGAGGGTCGTTACGAGGCTGAGGCCCGCTCTCAGCGGTCATGAGAATCTTATAGGAAACTTAACTAGCTGACTTGCCAACAAAACTAAAAAATCAAGAAGACCTGCTTGTCTCCTGCATATCCTGCTCATTTGCTTTCTATGCATATGTATATATATATATATATATATATATATATATATATATATATATATATATATATATATATATATATATATGTATATGTGTATATGAGCAGAGCCAAGCTGAGAGTGAGAAGACTCCACTGTCAATTATATGTATGGCTCACTCCCAAGTCTGTGAATCACACCAACATATGCTGACCAACTTATAAATCTTATATAACCTCGAGATGCGTTTCACAGCTGCCAACCGCTGCATCGTCAGGCAATAAATATACGTACAGTGCACGCCATCAGTGGCGTAACACACGGACGTGACACAAAAAGCTGGAAATATCACACGAGCACACGCGATGGCCCACCACCTCCAATTCCAGAGATAAATTCGTTCTGATCACAATTTCCATTGGATATGTTGGTATGTTATTTGGCATTAATAATTTCTATTTTCGCGTGATGATGCAGCCATTGTGAGATATGAAACGCGTCGCGAGCTGATATAAGATGCGTGCAGTATATTTATATAAATATATACATACACACACACACACACACACATATATATATATATATATATATAGATATATATATATATATATATATATATATATATATATATATTTATTGGCAGAGGCGAGCCTATAGCGGGAAAGTTCGACTGTCTATCGCCTGCCGGCTCACGGGGTGTGCATCGTTTTCCTCAGATAAAAATAGCCGCAAACTCGCTTCGCCATGTGTCAGTGCATTAACCCAAGCCCAGACCCAGCCCTCAAATGCCGCAGCTGTGTGGGCGGCTCATGATGACCCGACCGCGCTCATGGTGACCGGACTGCGCTCGTGGCGGCGCCGGCGCGGCGCCCGGGCTGTCGGACCCGATCGTGACCGGGCCGTCGTCCGTTGGCAGGTCACAGTCTGTCGCAGGCGGCCCGCACCTACGACATCCCGTACCCGACGTTCGTCCTGTACGCCAACCGGGTGCACAATCTGCTCGGCCCGTCGCAGGAGGGGCCCGGAGGCATCCCGAACGGTGAGCATCCCCGCCCCATCGGCTGCCGCTTCGTCCCGGGGCTTCGTCCACAGACAGGTCCATCCCGAACGGTGAGTATCCCCGCCCCATCGGCGGCCGCTTCGTCCCGGGGCTCCGTCCACAGGCAGGCCCATCCCGAACGGCGAGCATCCCCGCCCCATCGGCCGCCGCTTCGTCCCGGGGCTTCGTCCATAGGCAGGCCCGTGGCGCTGGCCTCTCCCGTGTGTGC